GCATCGAAAAACATTCGGTCATCGTGAAAAGGCTTCGAGGAAATCGGTCGCTAAGCCTTCGCCTGTAACTAAAGAGAAGGTAGTTACGATGATGTTGTACCTATCTAGCTGACTACTGTGCAATTTTTTTGCACAATTTTAACTTAATCGGTTTTAGCTAAGCAATAAAACACTGGTTAGGGGTTAGGTCAAATTCTAGTAATGGTTGCTTGTGGTTCTAGGTGGATGGCGCATGATATCGTTTCCCTGTTCAGAAGGTTAAAAATTAAGTCGCTTTACACTTCCCTCGCATCAGACGCCCCATTCTTGAAATTCGCAGATTTTCATGGGTTTTGTTTGGTATCTTTTAGAATACATCGTATTGGGACCTGTTATGTATTTAGTGTATAAATTGCGTCTTTTAGCTAACCCCCACCCCCACTTTCATCCTCTTAATAGTCCTGCTTGGTGGATGACGGCAAAGGTAGACTTCCGCTGCCATGTGATTCAGAGGACGATAGTTCTCGCGATGTTGCAACTCCGCGAGTACCCAATTCCTTTAAACACAGACGACCAGCTCGCTTTACTCCTCGTCGCGGACCTGAAATTGAATCATCAAGTGACTCCGATTGGACCCCCAGTGAAGACCGTGTCTTCCCATCACAACAGGTAAACTTTGCCGTCCAGTTGTTAATTTGGTTACTGTTTTTTGTCTACCAAATTCATGATATCGAATGTCTTCAAGTGTGATCCGTAAATAATACGTAATGCTAATCGTTAGATCGTTCAACTTTACTAACATCTAGTAGGTAATTGTTATTTTCACGAATCCATACGTATATTGGATGTCGATGTACACGCGTTTGCCAGCCCCCTTTCACCTTAAAATGGTATTTGTCTCGAATGAATCACACAGTAAGTAATCTGCAGTAATCAGTCAAAGGGCTATTCATGGTTCTTCCATGGTCCACTATCTTAATCGCTGTTTAGTTTCCCTCCCAATCGGGTGACCGTCAATTTTTTTAATATGGCCTAAAGCCAACGAAAGGGGTTTAACATTACCGTTCTTTATGTGCATCTTGGGCCTCAGTTTTTGACCATCCGCCGCTTTATTATGCTTTCCCGACCTCTACCCTCCCGTTTATAATTTGCATTTTCGCTCACTATTTCCGAGCCATGTTGTAGATACCATTTTTTTTTATAAAATTTGCTTCCAGCGGCGAAGACGGCCCCAATTTAACCTTCCGTCTGATGAATCTCCATCGCCATATTTGAACAGCTATGAGAAGCAGGAAGAGGAGTCTGAAGAGTGTTTTGAGAGGTTTTCATCTTCCGCAGTCGTATCTTCTCGCCGAAAACAGAACCTGACAACTCATAGAAAAATAAAAAAAGAGTCATCTACAAACAATCTCACATTACCTGTCACTCCTACGCAGGTAAACCAATCAGGGGGTTTTTTTGAAGGAAACACTTTTGTATGATGTGCCTCTTGTCAAAGCGGTTGTAATTGGGATGGCTTCGCTATGAATCTACGAGAACACTATTTTGGCCTTATCTGATTGGTCAAACTCATGTTGGTCGTTGTCTTTGCTTATCTGTAGATCTTTCTGGTTTTGACTTTCTGTCACCGTTGTAGACGTTCCAGCTAATTGGTTGTCTTCTGGACCAAAAAAGCCAACCGTATCAATGTTTGTGTGAATTTCAAACACCTTGTTAAAACGTTTTCACCCTTTTACGCATATTTCATCCCTATCGGAGTCGGCAGGCGCATTAAGTCTACGAGTGCTCTTTGTCACTTGGTACCTCTTTCTTTCATTTAGCTTCATTTGGTTCGCTTTTGTACAGGTGTTTGATTGCCGATGGCCGTCAAACCAAGGCCAAAATGATGTCCTTGCAACCAGACGCCTCTCACAGCCCAAAAATCAATTTGGGTGGCCGGATAAGAACGCACCCCCTGCGCCTTCGTCGTTCACCGTCGATGTGGAAGGCAATTCTTCTGATTCTTGTGAATTTTCAGAAGTAAGCCTAATCGTTGCTCTGCACAGATGCAAATCAAGTTCCTTCACCTTTTTATAATCATATACGCTGTTACTGGGAATCGTCACTATATCCGCTTTAATGTCTGACTAAGGTGAACTGATGTACGTTTTGTAGTTTAGGCAATATTTGATTCTTTTCGTGGCATGTAAATAGCTTAGAGTCACGTACTTTGCCCAATATGCCCTTTTAAATCCTGTTTATGGGCCCTAGTGCTTTGTTAGGAGCATTAGGTACAAAGAGTAACTGTTTTTAATTTCGAGTTCTTATGCCCAATCACCTTCAGACGGTTCATAGTCCCTATCAATGGCCGGAATCTTTGCTCTGGGAGCACAATTACTTTCGTGTTCCCCCTCCCGGTACCACCATAACCTATCGGACGACGGTGCGTGTAGCGCGCCAGCGAGCATCCGCCTCAGTCCTCCGACCACCTTCCGTGCTTCCAGTTGACCCCTCTGTTCCCTCCACCATGCAGCCTTCTGTCTGTTCAGGTGTCGAATCACGACCTGGTACCGTGGAGCCCCGGTTTGTCCATCTTCCTGCTGTTTCGCCTCCGGCCCCATTCCAAAATCGAATGTCCAATACTAGCATAGTTCGAGATGCTCCCAAAATGCGGAATTTGGAATACAGGAAGCCTACTAAAAGGGCCGTTGTTGGCTCTAGAGAACTCGCCAATTTACTTACACCAGTGCAAAAGTCGGATATTGAACAAAATGCCTTGTTGCTGAAAAACCAACGAATCGATGACTTCGAGTATCAACTTGGAGGGCATCCAGTGCGAACGAAATTTGCCCTGCGTTCTGACGAAGACGAGGAAATGGTAAGGCAGTTTTCGTGTCACCTTACTAACCTCGGCGTCAACCGGTCTCAGTAGTAGACGAATCATTGTCTTAATTTTTCTTTAAACAATAAACGTAAACCAGATTTTCAAAATTCTAGTTCTGATTTGAAATTCTAAGCTTTTAACGAACGAAAATTTTGTTAAAAAATCTGAAAAGGATATTTTTCCGTTAGTTTACTCAATTGTGGCTAGCCAAACATCTAAAACCGCTACTGGGCTTCATTCGTATTAAGCTGCAAGATTAAAGGAAGTGAAGAAAATATAAGAAAAATACTGTTTTTAAAAGACGATGAGTTAACGAGAATCAGAAAGTACAATCACTCAAAAAGCTGTGTTAATGAAAGTATCGTTCTAGATTCACGAAAAACCAATCTGATTGAAATAGTAGGAGCTGCCACTGTAGTCGTTATTTTCATAATGGATGCTCTGAGCACATTGGAGGGTTAGAAAGGGGCACCGTTCTTGTTACTCGCAAGCAGCCATCACACCGCATAATGCTGCAAGGCCCCACAGAAAAAGTGGTTCGACCGGGGAAAAGTAGTTCGTTTAATCTGTTTTTTTTTTCGTATTTACTGTAGCCAGTGCCAATTCATTACTTTTCTGAGCACTACTAAATTGGCTGACGTCACTTCCAAACTTGCAATTCTGTTTTGGTGTGTTTTCAATTAACTTTCACGAAGACGTGTCTTATGTTAGTATTTTGAAAAATTCTTCTTTTTCCCCTATAGATTTTGACATCATTTCTCGACTTCGGTCTCGACTCCGAAGATGCAGACCTATTTCATGATTTGTTCAATCTTATTCGAGAGTCTGATGCCTCCACGGCTGATGCCCAACTTCTTTCGTCCATCCTCTCATGCTCCCGCATCCGGCATCCTCATCGACTTATTGATCTAATCAAAACCTCGGTTTGGGTCGATCATCCTCCATCACTAATTCCCGATCCTCCCGATGTGAATTCTTATGTCAACTCCAGTGGTCGGCTCTGCCAGGGCAGCCCATCCGGAGTTCTTGATATTGGCTTAGATCGCTCCGAATCGACGCGAAAGCGTCGTTATGCTCTGGATAAATGTTCTCAGAGTACCCGTCGGCGATGCAATGGTAAGCGGTCGAAGTTGGACCTTCAACACGAAGCAAGTGATCACTATTCATCCATGTCAGAGGGTCAGCTTTCAGCCGGAGAGTCGATAGCTGACTCCCCACTGTGGGGGACAGGTTCTTCGGTGCGTTCTGTAAAAGCCGACTCTTCGTTCTCGCTGCTAAGGAGAAAGCTCTTTTACCAGGCCTATTCGTTGGAACGGAGGCGATGCTCTACTGTGTCGTCTGTTAATGGTATCCGAGGTTGGCGGAGACGTAAATCAATTGGGGACGAAATTGATTTGCATTTGGGACCTGCCTCCGCAATTCCACCAGTAAATTCTACCGGTGAGTGCCGATGCCTTTAAACAGTTATAGCGGTAATACAGTTTGGCACTTCATTGGTTCACGTTTGTTATTATTACGCGTTTATTAGCAATGGAGTTGATTAAGTCAAAGAAGAGCGTGCGTGATTGATGCAATTAGGTAAACTTAGAGTTTTTGAATATCATCTCTCCCGTGAATTTGCCATGCTTCGGTAATTTTTATCTGCCAACTTTACAACCCATTCCCTAGGTTGTGCACGAACGCAAGGCTTCTTCCGACTGGATCCGACCCAGCGATTCCGTCGATCGTGGTGCGTCGGGCGAAGCATGGTCTCCGAAGACGGTACGCAGCGCTACCCTCTTCCACTGACCCCCGCCACCGTCGAGCTGAGCGCCATCAGCGCCGCTCATGGTCTCGCCGACGAGCTCACCGAACAGGCCAGTGTCGCTAAACGGAAAAAGGTGACACAAGCCCGGGAGGTTCGGTCTGTTCAGCGGCGTCTGCTCGCTGAATTTCAGGACATCGAAACTGGGGACTTGCTTAAGTTCAACCATTTGGAAGTGAGCTCTTTTTTAGTTCAGTGGTATTAAATATTATTTTGGATTCGTTTGGTTATAACGTTTTTTTTTACCAGCTCACTATCGCTAATTTGTCACTAAGATGCAGCGCTCAATTTAACAAGTGTACAGTGAGCATCTCATCATGCTTTATTGCTTCATTGTAGTTTCGGCGGAAGCAATTGATTTTCGCCAAATCTCCCATACATCACTGGGGCCTGATTGCTTTGGAGCCGATAGCTGCTGAGGAGATGGTCATCGAGTATGTTGGTCATGTAGTTCGCAAAGGCGTTGCCGAACTTCGGGAAAAGCAGTACGAACAACGTGGAATCGGCTCCTCCTATCTTTTCCGAATCGATGATGAGTTTGTTATCGACGCGACTATGTATGGAAACAATGCCCGCTTTATCAATCACAGCTGTCAGGTGTGCTCCTTAGCCATTTCAGGTCTTTTCTGCATGTATTGCTAATTGAATATTCATCGAATGTACAGAAGGCTTGACTTTGATTAGAAGTCAACCAAGAGCGCGAACGTAGTCAGTTGTTTATGCATCAGCAATTATTTTAGTTTGTTTTGTTGCAAATCGAAAGTTTACCGTAAACAATTGTTTTGTAGTGTTCACCTACCTAATTGTCATAATCCTCATATATTCAATCAGTCATGATCCAGGCAGAATTTATTGTCTGTGGGATCTAGTTATTAAACTTTGTACTTTGTGTCAAATTATTGCTTCTGTTCAAACAAACCAAGATTTCTGCATTTTAATTCCAGTAGTGACTATTTCTTTGTGTTTTAGCCCAACTGCTATGCCAAGGTGATCACAGTGGAGGGTCGAAAAAAGATAGTTATCTACTCAAAGCGTGATATTCAGGTTATGGAGGAGATCACCTACGACTACAAGTTCCCCTACGAGGACGAAAAGATACCCTGTCTTTGCGGGGCTCCACAGTGCCGTGGAACACTGAACTAGATATTTTCAGTCTCAGGTTCCCTCTCCTTCGATTCTAAAACGCACATCTCGCCTAGTACCTCTTTTTCAAGTTATTAGCTTTCCTGCCTCCCTCCTGTGGGAGTTGTCCACCCGCGCTCAGAATCAACTTCGTCCGTTTTCAGTCTTTCTTTGGGCGTCGGTGGACCCCCTCCCTCCTCACCTCGAAGTTAGGCAGCAGCATCGCCATGTATTATAACAAACCCAACCACATCCCCAGTTTTGTACAAATTCAAGCTTCACTTCCTCCTCTTTCCCTGAGTCTTTTACCATAGTACTGTTTTTTGCATTTACTTCGTGTGTATGTTTGTACAGAGAGTACTCGCTTGTGTGTGTGTGTGTGTGTGTGTGTGGTGCGTGGAAACAGAGAAGGATAATACAAATGTGCTTCTAACTTCAGTTATTGTGTTGCTGAGTGTCTGAACGTGTCTTAAGTGGTTGGGAAATTTGGGTTAAAATGATGGCTATCGGTTGAAGAAGACGCTGTGCTGCTACCTCGGATTGCATACTCTGATTAAATCTAGTTTTATTCCTTTCTTGGTTCTTCATATTCAGATACTTTTATACCGTAATTATGCATTATATTAGAGGTCTATACGTGGATTTCGTGATACGTGGCTACTAATACGACAATGGCCTCGTTTGGCGCGTTTTCCAAAACTGCATTTCGAATTCCTTCCTGTAATAAGTTTTTAACCACACTTTGCATAATACAAACGTTTTAAATATTTTAAATCAACAGTAGCGAATCGGCTCTCGTGTCTATCGTTTTTCCTTTTTAGGCAATTTATATTTACGTCGGTCAGATCATACCGTGAAATGAATTTGTATTCACCTCTAAATCATCCATTGGTTTTGGCGCAACTATGCTTGTTTTAAAACAACTGTAGAGAAAGTGTGCAGTCCTGCCAGTTCATTGCTTAAGTCCTCCGGGGATTACATACTTGTGTACGTTTATCATGGTTTTGTGAACATGCTGAAGCAGCCTTGTGTAAGCAACTGTCCCCGTTGATTACTTAGCCACATTTGTTAAAGCATGTTCTTTTAACTCGCGTTAAAGTTAGCTTGATTTTATGAAGGTTTTTTTTATTGACGCGTTACCTCCGGTGTACGTAACTTGTCTATCTGCTTATTAAAAGTAAAAATAGTTTGGTGTCATGTTGTCAAACTGAATCGGTTAGATCCGAAGGAGTAATATTCTTTTTGAGGAGCTAGGTCTTCACCTGGCTCCGATATAACTCTCCCCATTACCATCCTGTTAAATTATTTAGAACCGATTAGACTGACATCAAAGTATAGCTTTTTGTACCACATCAAGTTCCTGTGAGTTCCTCTCTCACTCACCGGTGCACTGCAGACTAATCGGGGGCCTATCCAAACCATGTGCCCTTGGGTTGTGTGCTTCTAGTAATTTTCGATTCACCGTAGCTATCTCTTATAATTACCCATGACGTGACTCGATTGACGGCTTGGAACTGGTGCCTACTTAAGCATATTCATTGTTACTGTTATATGTGCTCTTTGATCTGATTGTAGTCTGCAGTTATTACGAGGATCCGCATTAAGAGAGTGTACTGTATATGTTGTCCCCTTTAAATTGAGCGGTTTGAATTTTATGGCGTTATAGCCAAACATTTAGGAAGGATTATTTGATTTTTTGCACTTATAATGGGCCGCATTGTCTTTAAATTATGTCGTGCGATTGTCGAAGGGAATTTTTGATATGCGAAGCCTTATTGCTCTTATTTTTACGCATTTTTTGTCATGTGCCATTTTCTAAAGTGGTCGCCGATGTTGGTTTGGGTACGTCCGTACCTTCCGTATTTCCCCTGAAAAACGGAATTATACCCTAGCTATTATAGCTTACATGTCTTGTCCAGGTCGAAACATTATTGATAAAATTCCCATATTTACCAGCCCTATTGTTGTTTCGTATCACTCTCACGAGATCCAACTGGATCCTCTTCGACAAAAAAACCAACTAAAACGGCCCATTTCCGTAAACCGCCAGTCTCAATAAATGTGATACTGTCACACCACAATCGCAGATTTCCAGTTACACTTTCTTTTACTTTTCTAGCTTTTTTGTCATGAACTAAGCCCTCCCTCAATACCCCTGGTCTGAAATCCGTCGTGCAAGTCACGCCTTTGCGCGTCGTTGGTCTGACGCTCTCAACTATAAGCATGCAGCGTTTACCGACGTAGAGGCTTCAGCCGTTTACAGAGTAGATTTTCTTCACCGGAAACATCCACCTAATATTCACATGCACAACATCCACGTCTATCCCTTCGTCGAAGCAGACAATTTCAATCCACCTCCGAATCTTCTTATTTCTAAAGCTAGAAGAGAATCGCAGTTTTTCGCGCCGTCTAAGGTTTCATCTCATGGTAATCGTGTACATCCTGAAATCGCTCAAAACAGCAAGCCAACTGACATGGGGCCAAGCAACGTCAAGTGTTTAAAAAGAGTGAATGAATCTCGCGCATCGTCGTCGTGGCCATCGCCTGTTAAGCGAAAAGCAGTTACCCCGAATACTGAGTCTGCGTCTAAAACGAATGAACCGAAGATAAGTAAACAACGTGGAGGTTTAGGTTCCGTGTTTTTTTACATGTGTGATGTCTGTGATGATGTTGGTGAATTGGCTACCCAAGAAGATGCACTCGCGCACCTACTTGATACAGGTCACGCGTCCTGCAGTCAGTACTCCATGTCGAAGCACGAGGAGGGCGAAGTGGAGGTTCTGGAATTGATATCCCCGCGCCTAATTGTGCCGCCTTCGGTAAACAAGTCGACAACAGCCGAACCTGACTTTGGATGGAAAAGCGGTGATACTGTGGTCTACTGTCCTTTGTGCCATCTTGTTTTGCCTGATAAGGTATGAATTTGTTTGTCCTCGTGCCAATCACATGACAAATAATTAAAACACTAGCTAAACAGAAATTTGATGGAATGTAATCGGCCTCATGACTTTAATGAGACTTTCGTCGCTACTTTCTTGAGCTATCTGGTCATTTTTACTGATGAAAGATCTTTTAAACGTCTAATTGCAGATTCTATGCGCTCATCACCATCAAACTTTCCACCCGAACAATCAACCAGCTTATGCTGTGGGCAAAATTCTTAAGGCTTCTCGCCTTACAGTTGATGCTAACCGCCCCGTCTGCGTTAAATGTGGCGTCAAATTTCCGAGTCTGTCTGAATTGGCATCTCACTGGTTCCACAAATCCCCTAATTGTTCGCCGCTACGTTCCTCCTTTGCCGTGCCACATCATGTTGTGGTTGAGTGCTGTCGTTGTGGTCGACAACGGGATAGTACCGTCTGTTCCAGTGCTCCTCTCTCACTGAGTGATGATGGGACAAATGTCTGCGCTACTATGTCGGCAAACTTTCTTGGCAATACGATACTTGCACACATGATTGGAGCACACTTACCCGGGTTACCCCATACGGACAATGAACAACTGGCATTCCGGTTTCGCTTTGTGGAGGTGAAGGAGGTGTGTGGTGGTAAAGAAAAATACCCTCGACTTCCCACCTTGACTTTCGAATCTCCTTTGGCTCGTACGCGTTTCCTTTTGAGAGAGACACAGCGGGAGGTGGATCTCTTGAGGGCTTTTCGAGGTTGCAAAAACCGAAAAGCTCTTCTGGCACTTGCCAATCTGGAACTTGGTCGGCTGAAGTAAGCCATCCAACTCTCCTTGGGTCTTTGTGATACGTCGACATAGAAATGGTCTTTGTGATTTCTTAAATCCAATTTTTACGTGTGTGAAGTACTCATTAGGGACTTATTTTTTTAGAATACGAACACACTATTTTGGTTCGCATACGTCGATTATTATGAAATATATGTACCTATCAAAAGTATTTATCCTTGTTGCTGTTTACGCGAAATTTCGAAAGAGCTTTGGGGTACCTTTATGCAGTTGAAGGTAAATCTGTGGATAAGGTTCTGATTAGCAGGGTTTTAAGACTGTAACTACCACAAGTACTGTTAATTTTATGCATTTCACTCGAGATCGCGTAGTGCAAGAGTAAACCAAGAAAATAATGAAGATTATGGGCTCGCGAGGACTGTTGTACCCACCTTGTTGTGCTAATGGTTGTCAGCAAGTAATTTCGGATGTCGCGAGTAGCGTCAATCTCCTTTCGAGGGTCTTTTTTCAATGTTTTAATTTGTTATTCTTGAAACTTCACCAATGGTGGTAACCTGAAGTGGCATTTGTTTCATTGTTTCCTGTGAATTTAGAGAATTCTCCCATAAAACAGCTTGCGAGTTATCGGAGCTTGTTGGACAAAAGTACAGGTGTTGTTTCAACCGAAAGTCGTTTTTCAATTTTTTAAATCAATTTAGTTCAACACTGGAAGCCCCAAACTACTTTGATAACCCTGAAGTTTTTGCACGAAGTGCGATTGCTAGACCTGTACAAAAATCATTCAACTGTAACGTAATTTTATGGATGCAGTTGCAAAAATGTGAACCAGTTTGATTTTTTTAGTACTAGAGTCTTGTGTCTCTATATTTATACTTGATTGCCTGGGTAGTGTATGTTGGAGTTTTCGATAAAATTGGTAAGACGCTCCCTTGCATTTTTCTCAATGCCATAAGCCAAAATGCTGCCTTAAATGAGGACATCTGAAATGGGTTTTTTAATCTCGAGTAGTGCCCTAGAATCAGCTCTAAACTGTCACACATATTTGAAAGTAGTTTTAGCCGTCGTCAAGTCTGCTCTCAATGTCCTACATGGCTTTATTTCAGAGAATGTATTAGGATTATTAGAGTATTTTCCTGTAGCCTTGATGTAACTGGTAAAGGAAAATTCTTCCCTTTAGCTTTAAATAAATGAGCTCTGAAGGTAATCGACTACTTCGTTACTCGACATCGCCAGCAGAAAGAAAAATTTGCTGATTTCGTTAAATAAGAAGCTACTTTTGCCTTTGCCGGTGGCTAGAGTATCAATGTGTGAGCCACTTTCCTAGACTGAAGGTAGGATCTCGCTCACTGACATTTTACTGTTTCAGCCAAAGAATGAGTAATATGTCAAAATTTGCTATGCCACCTTTTCAGTAGTTTTATGGTGTCACATGTGAATACGTTAAGTGCTGTTCGTTAAAACTAAAATGGAAACGGTGATTCATGATTTTTAATTTTACTATTAGTGTTTGGATTTGGACGTGTAGATTTTCCGAGTAGAAGCATAAAAAACGCCATTGAGTCAGCTCTAAAAAGGTATTTGACGGATTTAATCTATTCAAGAGTATACAAGCTCATTGTCGTGAAAGAACTGAGGATGCTGATTACTCGATGAAAAAATTAATTTAAGTTTAACCCCATTAATGCGATAGCCTACCATTATTGCCAAAGCAATTTCTCGTTGACTGATATTTCAATTTTTACTAGTTACATCTTTAAAAGCAGTGAGATAATTGGGAAGTGGATAGCATTTGCAGAACTAAAATGACTTAGGATTCATAATTAAAACTTTACCATTTACCTCACTAGTTCCAGACATTCTTTTTATCCCAAGTAATAATGTCTTTATAAAAGCCCTATTTCTTAAAAAATGCCATTAATATTTAAAAGACACTATAAACTCTTTAAACCAATTTCGATTCAACCATTTTCAAGTGGATATTTGTAACCAAATAATCCACAGCGTCCCACAAATACTCAAATTACATAAACTACGAATGAAAGTTTTGAGCCACCAAAAAATTGTAAGGATTTTTTTAGTGACCTGTTAGGACTTTGCAAGAAATCAGCAATGAAAATAAAATAATTTTATATTAAGAGTAGACAACTGGCCACGATATTTCTCTTACACCGCCTAAAATGTAATTCGACATAAAGATAAAAATGCGATTATGGGAGTTTGACAAGTAATTTTGTTAAATAAAAAGAAGGGTCTTATTCAACCGAGAAACACTCTGCTAAATTTTTAGATCTAAAATTGATGCAGACTAGATAATTCTGCATCAATCCATTTTTTGAATCCATTAGACTGTGTTTTTGAAAGGTAGAAAATTATTTTCTGTTTTATGGCATCAATTTTTAGATCAAAAAGACCTAAAAAATATAAGTTGTGAAGACGTTCCTTTGTTTGAAAATTGTTTAATCTCAAGGTTTTAATACTAAATTCAGTAATTAGCCCAAATCTATTCACTTGATTGGCTTCTTGCAGTCACTGCTCTCATGCTCCCAGAATTTTAAAGTGAGGGTGTTTTTTCTCTACAATTGTGTCAAAGTCATCAAATCTTTGCCGCCATTAGTATTGACACTGCAAGTCTTCCGTTAAGGCCTCTGATTCTTTACGATAATTTACGCCCTCTTATCTTTAAGCTCTTTCCTGACCGAATGAACTTTTCCGTTCGCACACCGTATGGTTTTTAAATACTGGGATGGTCATATCTGTTCAAAACCCAACGTGGAATATGAATTGGTCTGAAATGTACCGCTTTACTCTTTTTTAAAAATACTTGGGGTTGCCATTTTTATTTTGCATTTTGCGTCTAATTATTCCTTTATGGGTCTTTTAGGTAAATATGTTGCAGGAACACAAGACGAATGAATCAATAAACGGTCTACCTGCTAACTATCCCTTTCGTAATTCTGAAGATGCATCCTTGTCTCATCCAACTCCGGCTAAATTAGCTAGGAAGAAAAATCATCACAACGACCTACCTCCTTCCCCTGAGATCGAAATTTCTCCTGTTGATCCAATCTGGCAGATGATTGATCCAACTCCGGATATTCAGACTCTGTTTACCACCTTCGACAAACAATTTTTCGGTGGCCGTCTCTCTGCCGTGGAGGTGCGATGGAGTCCTCGCATGACGCTCTGTGCTGGCCTTTGTGTCTACGAAGGTCGTGGTGGCCTTTGTTCCATACGCATGAGTGAGCCTCTCCTGAAATACCGTCCTCGAAGCGATACTGTTGAAACTTTATTGGTAGGCAACTTTTTCCTTCATTACCACTTCACTTTTAGCACGAAATGATCCATGCCTATTTATTTGTGACAGAAAACGTTAGAGTAAGTCCGTCCATTTTATGGTTATCGTAGGATCGTGATGGCCATGGATCGAATTTCAAATTCCACATGAATCGGATTAATGCCTGTGCAAAGACCAACATCACTGTAGGTTATTGTTGTTTGTTAATGTTGTGCCCGAAGTTTACTTTCTTGTAGTTCGCTTAACCTTTAGTGCCCTTCTGTCCAATCATCGGTTTATTGATAGTCGTGGTCCACTCCAATTTATTTTACAAACACTTGCCAATTCTGCCCCTTAAAGCAATGGTGTGGAGACTATGGCGTTTTTATTACCATAAAGACTTCGATCAGCAAATGCTTACCAAAGTTCTAAAGTCGCTTTTAATTCTTAGATTTACCATAACTTTCACGACGAAGTGAACAATTACAAAGTGCATTGGTGGAAGTGCAATGGACCATGCGCCTCTCGTCCTCCCTTTTTCGGCCTTGTTCGGAGGTCAATGAATCGTGCTCCTGGACCCAACGACATCTGGTGGAGCGAGCACCAAGCCAGCTGCTCTGGTACGTAACTTTCCATCTCGCTAATTGTAAGCCTCTGTGGAATAGGTTCTTACGCCTTTGCATCTTTTAAAGCACAGGAAAGCTTTTGTATCTTTTAAAGCACATAGTTGTGGTGGCCTTCTGTAGTCGTATAGGCTTTGTGTGTATGGGAAGTAAACGGTAAACGTATCCTTGCAATTTTTTTCTAACTTATACCCTTTCACTCATAGTTTTAATAAAAGTGGCACTGGCATCTGCTGATAGAGGATACACTAAGTTTTTGCTTGTATTTAGTGTTTGGATTTTTGCGTTGCATAATGCACAAGTTTATTGGACACATGACTTAACAAAATCTGCCTCTCAGAAATTTAATAAATTTGATTTTGAAACTGGTTTCAGGGGCTGTAAAACCCTTTGTAGTGGACAATCTTATTAGTGTAAACAAATAATTTGCTATGTACCAGGTACTATTCAATCGTGTTGTAATCACGCACTTTTTGATTTGTATTTTAGGTCAATTTATCAAAATCAAAGAACCGGAAAAAAGTAACAAGAAGCCAAAGAATGTCACGAAGGTTAACCAGAAAAGAAAACAAACTAAGCTGGTGGCTTCCAGCTCAACGCCCGGTAAATTTTGTGTGTACTTTTGAAACGCCAATTTTCGGTAATGTGCTAGTAATACCAAATAGCTCTGGAAACGCTTAATAAATGTGCGTTTCTCAGTAACGATATTGCCGTCCGTGTCAACTGTTTGTGGTTTGTGAGCAGTATACAGTCACTTTAGAAGCTTAACCATTTTCCAATCGGCTCTAATCCGTAGGCATCTGTATCGGTTTAACGCTAAGGCTGAATGTGTTTAACTAACATTAGTTTGGCCTAAATTGTCCCCTATTTGGTCAAAGCCTTTCGCGGTCTTAGCTTTGAGCGCGCTTTGTCGTTACGACTTTTGGTCTCACGTTGGTTAGGAACCAGCCCTCAAGGAATTGCACCGCGCATGGTTGTGGTGTCGAATGAGCCTTCCCCACCATACTTTGCGTTGTGAGCACTATCCTTTGACCTAAAATTTCTTAAATTTTGAATCCTCTTCATTTGTATGACTGTTGTTTCTTCTGCCCTCAAGGAGGGAATATAATGCCTAGCTCTTTTTACAACAATATTATTACAGTTTTCAACAAATAATACATCAAAAAAGCTGACGTAAAATTAAAGCAGTGGAAGGCCTTCATAAGTAACTTGAAGCGTAGTGCAAAAGAGGAATACGTGACACACTGTGGCTTTGAAGCATGCTCTGTCGCCCCAAATTTCACCTGAAATCTACCGACGTGACGTACCAAGTCGGTGCTTGAAAACTCGGAAGTTACTGTTGTTAGGTTTTATTGTGAAGTGGGGTTTTGAGAATGTATCCACGGTTGGTGCTCTTACCAACAAATTCACACATGCACATCTGCTATAGAAATTTGTTTAGTTTGGACAATTATTTTTAATTAGAATGCAAACGGAGCTGAATTCCGGTAACAATATTAGGGATAGACCACAATATTGATGTAGCAATCCTGTTCTGTTGTTTTTTGTGAAGACGTTAAAGAACGCGACAAGCTGAGAAGAATTTTTCATTAGTGATCGTTTGAGTTTTTTGAATGTCCTCATTAAGTATTCTTGACATCTGTGATGTAAAATTTCTTCAAATATTCATATACACCTTTATCAACCAAATACGGTTTAAGTCAGTTGCCTGAATCCTTGCAGACTTACGGTCATATCTCCTTGGGTCGCCGAAATCTCAGGAAGCAGGAGGACATTCTATGCAAGTTGAAGACTTGCAGCCCCCATCTGAAACAGACAGGTTGACATCTAATAGGCCCGAGCAGGCTGTGGTGCCCTTCAGCGGAGTGGGTCACGTGCTGGGCGGTTTACGGCCTCCCCAACGGAGTCGACTTCTTGCCCTGCCGATCACCAGCCAGTCTTCAGCCGCTGGGTGTGACAGAACTGCCTCGGCGGCTTCGTCCAAGGAGTTGGCAGAGTGCCCTGTCTGTTCCCAAAAACAGCCAATTTTATTAATGGATGCGCATTTAGACGAATGTCTTGCCCGATAGCCTTAGGAACCGTTTTTTTTGTAAACACTAGCCTTTATCTCTGCTTTGATACTGCACTCGCACTATTCTAGCTTTATAATAGCCTTTTTGCGAAAAGAAATATCTTCGCTGTGTGATTAGGACTTGTTTTTTATGCCGTCATTATGGTGTTGATTGTTGTCGAGCCTCCTTTAGCGCCTCCCGTTACTGAATCCCTACCCTTGGGTTTCACTACGTTTTGGTTTAAATCTATCACTAGGACATTCAGTGTCTCGTTTAGATTATCAGAGTTGGTTATCAGCGAGATCGTGGGGTTGCAATGTGGCCGCACTTGGTGTGTCATTAATGTAATTTCTACCATCTGATTCTTCTCTGTTGGCAACTAAGATCAAATCAGTAGTAATGCAAAAGTATGGTTTAGCGTCTAGCTGTGGCTGGGATTAGGATGACTCTGTTTTAATAAAACTGCAGTGCTGGAATGTAAATTTAACAGACTAGATGCAGTCATTTGATTAGGGTTTTTCCGGGTATCAAGCTATTTGACTTGGTAAAGTTAGCCTGTCCAAGAATTGGTCTCAAGTGTTCGCGTAAACCTGATTGAGGAATTTATTGTAGATTCATGTGGAGTGTTTGTTAAGCTTGAACTTGACTGCCGTTTACCGTACCATGCACCAGTGATTTGCTCTTAGCGCAGTGGACTGTCGGCGATCGCGCTTGAGTGAATCCTGTTTACTGACCCGATGATGTCAATGACTCATTCCTGTTTCATTGGTTGCTGTTGTTAGTCGCCTGTCATTCGCACAAAGACGCTTGGCTGACGTGACGGTCGTATCTGGTGTCAACCTTTCTAGTCTCTCTATTCTGTGGTTATTATGGGCCGTCAACTAGTAGGATTGTAAGGTTGTACTAGCAAAGCCCCATATTTAGTGACCCTAACGGTCGATGCTACCACATTAATTCCGTATGATCTGATTACAATGCACAGAGGAGTGAATCTAGTCCCTAGTATTTGGGTAAATTTAGCAAAAACTATTTTAATCATGTGTCATATTGTCCAGAGTGATTAGCAAATAGTCAGGTGTCTCACAGGACACTACACGGCATTTGAATCTCCTAATTAGAATGACGCTTGAGGGCCTGACTTTGCGTGAACTTGCTTCAGCAAGGTGCAAAGGTCACTGGCATGGTTGCAAAGCTGCAGCAGCAAGTTTCCTTTGTACTTCGTTAACAATCATTTTCAGAAATATAATTATTGTCTGTACCTGTCGTGAATCGTGCTGGTTCACACTCGCTAATCCAATTACTCCAGCCTCCGACACAGGGTCCCCCTTTCACAGCACTGCACCAGCCGCACGGATCCGGAATTCTCCCTCATTTGCAAGAACATTTATCTCGGATTACCATCACACCGAGGTCTCCATGTTAGCGCATGTATGACTCCACATATGAGGTTTAAACACACGTGCAAATGCCACCCACGACACAACGACACCAACGTGGTTGAGCTCTGAAGTAAACGGTTGTGTCCACGTCCTCTTCGGTCTTCTTTCTCTCCATCGCGGGCATCAGGGAAACGTAATCGGTCCAGGGTTAATTCATGCTGGGGCGCACACAACATATGTATTTAGGGTGAAATGAAAACCACAGCTGGAAGAGTTAAATGTATACGCAGTTAAGCTCTGTAAGGGATCCAGTTTTAACGCCGCAGTTGAAAATGGAACGACTGTCATTTGGTCACACCCACAAACATCTTCGTGCAGTTTCACCGAACAATCTTGCGCCAGGTTGCCGATTCGAAGAAAGACGTGACATCGCACGTCAACTAAATCCGTTTACAACCTTAAGACGCGCAGCCATTAATCCCTAAAATAGATTAAGGTCGGTTTTTTAAGTCTCACCACGTGAGAAGCATCGCCGCAAAAAGACTACATTTCGAGGAGCAAGAAAAGTACTAATTCGGCGTGTCAGACCCCGGATGTTAAAATGCAACGTATCCCAGACCAAACAACTGTCGATGCGAAGCATGAGAGAGCCTTGCTCACATACAATCAAGCAGTGATACAAATTCAAGACGAATGCTTCAGAAGCACTGTCACGGTGTTTTACGAAACACTAACCACTAAAACACAGAGATGGCCCAAACTCTATTACTGTGTAGGCAAACATACAGATTCACGGCCACTGTCATGATGGATCAGTGCATACTGTTTGCACGCAAATTTGTATTTGTCATTTTTTGGGTACAAAAGAATGCTGAACAAAGAAGCAACTGGAGTCATTCACGCCACTTTGCTTCAACCTCATCAGTACGGAATCGCTGAGTTACTGTGCTCTGGGCCAGTGGGGTCGTCATTCCAACACGCAGCATCTCGTAGCCCGCTTGGGCAATCATCGCCCCGTTATCGACGCAATATCGATCGTCTGTGGCACAGAGGGTGGCTCCACGTTCCTTTGCCATGCAGTTCATCATTTCTTGCAACCTTACGTTGCAGCCAACACCACCCACGATCAACACCTCCTACAGGAGAGGACAAAATGTGCTGAATATCTAAGGGAATACAAAAGACAGAATTTGTTGTGCCGTAAAACATCCCAAAGTAGAAGCAGCCGAATATTCGACCACAAAAATGGAGGAGACAGTGAGATATTTACAACTGGCTGCAGCATATGGTAGCTTCTATGGACACAGTAGAGATTGCTGAATTTTAGAGATTAAGATATAATTTAAGCGAAGAACGCAAAAAGAGTAAAAGCTCCGCCACGTCCTTACTGGTCATAAATGCTCACCACCTCATCACACTAAAGAATGCGATAAGGCTGAGTCAAGATTTCCTGCAATTTATGCACATAAAGTGGGCTACACGATAGAAAGCTAGTGGTTTATGTGTTACTGCAGTTGAATATTTCGTTAAAAGTTCATTTTTATGTCCAAAACCAAACACACAACCTTCGAGTCACAGTGGGCCATCGCGCGTTCAGTGATTTCAACGACCATAGCGAAGACCGTCTCCTGAAGGGCGAAACAGAAATCAGCCTGTGTGTATTCACCGGATTTAAGGAGCTTCGGCGCTCGCTCCTTCAGGTAAGACAGAATTCCCGCGAAGGAAACGTCCATGCCCTTAACACAGTAGGGCAATTCAAAGAACTTGGTCCCGCTTTTTGCCATCTGCTCGATGTTGTAACCCGGACTTGGATCGTTTGAGAGGTTGATCACGCGGGCAAATCTACATGGCACAGAACACGGGATGTGTTACATAAACGAAGAGATAGTGAACAGAACTTCTTCGAGTTAAATACACAGGGCTAATTCTGACACTCCAAATATAAGTAATCACATAACGAGCAATAGTAGAAGAGAAGGACTGGGGCCAGGAATTTACAAAATTTGTGGACTCCGTGTCAGAGGGCTGGAAGGAATATAATTTATGCAATGAGTTAATGCCATCAACAGCTCCAGAAACCCCAACTTGGAGACAGAACATCGATGGTAATAAGCCTTACCGGTCAAGACAGTTGCCCAAGGCAATGTCTAGAGTTTCCCCGAATATGCGGTAACGTCCACCAGAGTAGGCGATTACTTGTGAGTTACCGCCACTAACGTAGAGCACGATGGGGGACTTTGCTCCAGTGACAAGACGACCCATTTCGATGTGTGCAACACAGTGGTTCACACCAATCAGTGGTTTGTTCCAGAGCTGTGCAAGAACACGAGCCACTATGGAGACAACTCGCAGTGGGCCGCCCATACCTGGTCCCTATTCAAGAAAAAATTCTAGTCAGATCTCTCGACGACACAACTCATAGAACGATGTTTACTGTAAGGCCTGTCACTGTAACGTAGCCGAAGGTTGTCACATCGTGCCGAAACTGGAGTTTCGTGATTGTGTTCTATGATTTATGCCGTGCACCTGCATCACGATGGATAGGACACGGTAGCAGCCGGCGTCGTAGTAACAGTGTCGCCTAGTAACTATTGAGTTCTATCGGCACGATTTGTTGGTCTATCGTTCAAGTTTATAACAAATTAAGAGGAACTTATTTAACGACCGGAAAAGCAGATTACGGCTGTAAGAAGTTGAGGAGAGACCAACTGCACTCCAAAATACTCCGACATTTGAAAGCCAACCTTGAGGCCATCGCATTTGATAGCAATGTTTATTTTTTGGAGTAAAAGAATGCTCAGCAAGGTGGAATGCGAACTGCTTTGTAAACAGCAGTATCATCGCGAAGTTCGGTCCGCATTTTCATGAAAGAATTATGCACAGTTGTGGTAGTTTCAGAGTCATTTCTTCGAAGCTAAAACCGTGAATTTTTAAAATATACCAGCGTATTGGGGGTGAGACTTCAATATTCTATTTTGTCCGCAGACCTGTAAACCACCTTCAATGAAATCCCGAAAAAAGTGGTTGCCAAATTTCTGCTAATGTTTCCGTTGCACATTTTCGAATTTCATTTTTCGCTAGTGGATGTGCTGCACAATATGTGCATCATTCCAAGCTGCGACTGCGGGACTTTTAATTCCCCTGTGTCCTGGTTAAAAGGCTATCTGCTCTGGATTCAACGTCGACTTTGGTACTCATTAAAACGCTTTAAAAAACGCTCGGGAACATAAGAGAGATCTTCTGGCAAATGTCAGTCGACTTTTTCCAAGGCACCAGTGACATTACCTCTACTTCACTCTATTTTGACCGCTAGGTGAATGACTGTTCTCAAGTTAAAATGAACATTTCTAAATTTAAAAACAACTTCAGAAAATAATTTATTAAAATACAAATAATCCTACTTATTTACTGCTAAATAACAATAACATAATAGACTCAATTAGCCAGCAGTTTCGTAACTTACATTGTAGCTTTAGGTGGTGCGATGTATATTCAAAAAAATTAAGTTTCATGGATGTTGCACTTGTTTAGGAATGCCAAGCCGACAAGTAGCTTGCTAAGAACTACTGACATCTCGTGATTAGTCCAACAAAGTATGCGTTCACTAAGTCTTATGTTGAGCAACTTGCCTTTGTGTACGCGATCGCGTCCAGGTCTTCAGGCTTCACGCCTGCCTCGTCGAGAGCCTTTCGAACAAGCTTGACGATGTGCGCGCGGTGATGGATCGCTGTCTCTGTTGGCCTAAATCCGTGGCCGGGCGGGGTCACGTAGGTGACGCGAGGGTTTGAGAGAACATCGCCATCACGTATAACGCCGATTCCCAGCTTATTCGCGCTGCCTTCCATCCCCAAAATAAGTACCATTCTTGATAGCTTAACGCAAACCGAAAATACGGGATTGTAGAGTGTGTTGATGACAGTAAAAGCATAGGTGCCCACATTGGTTCTCACATGGTGCACATATAATCTGATACACTGAAAGTGATACTGATAATGGGGTATGTGCTAGAATTTTAATGAATACTGCAGATTGTTTATCCCTGGCGGCTTGGTGCAAGATGCAAGGAGCAAGTGAAGCATACGATTACAGGAAATGGAAGTTCTACAATACCATTTATAGCAGCAATATCCGTCTGTAGGCGGATAGTGTATTATGGCTTTTTACAAGCAACCTTAATGTCCACATAACGTTCACAACAGTTCACACATACACGGTAATCAGATATTTCGACTTAGAAAGCTAAATATTTGACAATCATTCACATGATTTAAGACGTTAGAAAGGGATCCTCGACTTGTGTCGAAACAAAGCGTTAAATATTTAATGCATGAGCTAGGTCAGTTAGAATCAATGCTAGAAAAATGTTATTCAATTAAATGTAAAAGTTCTTTGCTTAGCCGATAAAATCAGTCTCCAAACTACACTTTGTGGTATTACCGAGACGTTGCTCTACTGGGTGATAAGAAACGTGGTATTACAGCATCAAGGGTCGTTTCAACTACGTTCTCTGCTCTACCGACCGTAAGAACGTTGATAGCCAACAACTGCAATTAGACTAGAGGCAGCTAAGAAACTTAAAGCAAGTGTTTGGTGACAAGAAAGGAACTATCATCATAACAAAGGTGCTTTGTGACAATGTGAATAAAAAGGAAGCAGTTCAGACAAATTTAATTCTATCTCAATGAACCTCTACTCAAGTCGCCAAGTGTTGCTAAAATTCCGGTAGATTTTCGCACCTGAAAACCATTTTGCAGCTTTCTGACAGCCCTGGAACCTACCTGTTCCTTTAATTTTGTTCCTATCTCATGAACAAATTAACAATTTGAAGAAATTAAATTTTTGTACCAGGATGTGGCAAAGCATGAATTATCCGTCAGGCTCAACAGACAATCCATAATTTAGAAAGGAGCTAAGGTAAGGGTTTATTTCTTATTTGTGCACTGAGTTGGCTTCAACGTAGGCGAAATAACTCACTACTGGTTAAAAGCTTCCTATTTGCGTACCTGAGTAATAAATGGCAGGACGCAATCCCGAGGTGTGATGGAAGCTAAAAAACTAACTTGTAAGTGAACCTATCTCCTGGGGCAGGAGGTCAGACACACTGGAAAGTGCCACCAAAGGCGTAACTGATTTATATCAGTTAATGTTCACACCAGGTAGGCACCAAAAAAAGGTTCGGAACAAAATTCCGCGGATATTGTTACCTGGGAAAAGCGAATTCCTCAAACATAATTAACAATACTAATTCAATTTGACTGACTGATTAAGGACCCATGACACTATTACAAATGGTTTCAAAATTTGGAGCAAAAGGGTTACAGAAAAACTACAAGTGAAAGACGCTAAATTCGGCGCGCAATACTACCTGTCTTAAAATTGCTGGATCAAAAGTTCAAAAAAACACTTGCAATATTTATTACACAAAAGTAAAACAAGACTGTACATAGATATAATTGAGGAACTAAAAGTCAATTGTGGCGACGACTACTTTTTCGAGGAGCCTGAGTGCTTGGGTGGTTGACGACCTTAACAGGTGACACAGAGGATGGTGGAGGAGGCATTCCAAGGTCCTGCTCAGTGTTAGAGCGAAGGGATTTACGTGTTCGTTTGCTGCCGACACTAGGCGCAGTGGTAGGAAGAGAGGCAGAAGGCGTTGGAGAAGAAACGGAACGGGGAGACAGAGAAGGAGAACTAGTGACAGGAGTCGTTGGGTGCTCGTCAAACTGTGACGATGACTTCCAGGAACTGCTTGAACCTAACGGAAAATGTTATCAGACCGACTGACACGATATTTGGAAAACTAAATAGTAACTTATTTTTACCTAGTTTTGGTCTCTGACGATTCATAGGCCCCGATGGCAGAGGCAGACGAGAAAAACTAACTGTGGATGACTTTGCACGCGGAAATGGGAGGTCTTGAAGTTCTTTAAATTCATCGGGAAGAGAAAATTCGGAGGACTTGTTTGGGAAAGGAATGACTTCCGACTCATTCTATATAAATTAAATCAGTTCGAAAAACAGTTACCACTCAAGCTATGAGTTTAGTTTAAATGCATAAGTTGCAGAAAAACTTACCAACTCCTCCAAGTTATACAATTTACTTAAATGCTGCCATATGTCGGACACCGAGTACCCAAGTTTCTCTGTGAAATTCAAGCGATAGGCAAGGCATATCATTTGAAAATTTCTATCTAGACCGACAGGCTTAAAGTACATTAGTGCATGAAATAACTTTATCTCGTCATCAACGGACCAAGCCATCGCCCAAACTAACGAGATCTTCGAACATGTCACGTTAAACAGCGCTAATTTAAACAGTCCAAGGAAATGTACAATGACATGTGTTTTATATTTTGTAAGCTAGACTATTTTAAAATAGCAAGTTTTGTAATTAAAAAAATTAAATTTTATTTGTTGTTTAGATGCAAATATGTTTTTTAATCACTGGAAACCTTGAGGGATCGATGATGCAGGTGTGAAGTATTTAAATGCGATGTGCGGTTCCTATAAATTGGATTTATCAGGCTAATAGTGTACTACAAGTTTCCTAAGCAGGTTCATTAGTCATAAGATCCTGAAAACTTTACATTTAAATCCGTTATTAGTTTATGTGTCATGTATAGATAAGGAAAATTATGAGAAATTTTATTGCTGTATGACAAGGACAATGCTTGCTAAAGAGTTGTACGTGAACCTCTATAGGTTTACGCTGTCTGCCAAAAGCAATAGATATATTAAGGGGCGCAGAGCGCAATGTTGAACTTGTTCGATCGTTCTCGCCTTTGGGTTGTGGTGTTTTAATAATTTATTTAAATACGAAAATGGGGGAACTAGATTAGAACAAATTGTGGAAGTCGTTAATATTTTTTCACCGGTTTTTAATGCTTGTTTATGGTAAAATTTTTATCAAAGTGAAAATACATAAATCTCTTTTGCGTAGCTAGCTTTTACAAACCTAGCTTTATGTGAACAAAATATCAGTAGTTGTTTTTAAAATTGAATTCGATTTGGTGATATCTGTCTTGAGATATTGTTAATTAATTTGCATATTACCGTTTCGTCCATGAATAAATTTATTATACTTATTATGACTTTCCTGTGGGCTAAATGCTTGACAGACAAATATTTTCTTCCTACATAATTAAATTTAAAAATTGCTTCTCTTTTTAAATGCGTACAAATTGGCTCATGTGCCTAATATTTTGGCAAATTTTAATTGGCAGAGTCATAGTTTATTAACGACTTCAATTGGTATCATGTTACAAATTGCTTCGAATTTACTACGGTGAAATGCGAAAAAAATTAACGAAGTTAGATTGCAAGTGTTTTCGAGTTAGCTACCATACGTTTGACAGGAAATAAAGAGAAGAACAAAACTGATATATTTCAGATTACCCTAATCAAGGGCAGAGAGGCGTTACGAGAGGGTGATTGTTGAGTAGTGTGAGAATGGACGCAGGGGCGTCAGGGTGCATCACTTATTAAGCGATCACGTCCAGGTCTCTGTCAAGACAAGATTTTGAATTTTCTACAAAAATAGTGTAACAGTAATTCTCCGTTCACGTTTACCTTAAATGTAGTATTTGTATTACTGATTATAGTAATCATGACGTTGTTATTGTACAAATTTTAAACCTTTATTATTTGCTATATGTCAAGGACCAAACATTCCACAAAAGTCCTAATCTCGGGTTATGATTTCATCATCATTTGCACAAATCGCACTTGTTAATGAGGATTCACAAACCTGACAACAATTCCTATTAAAGTGTGCTTTTTATCCATTCTTAAATCAGGTTTGCTTATAATCTACCTTTAAAAGCCCATTTCAACACACAGGGAGAGGACTGGCTTCACTTGTGAAAAGTCTTTATGCTGGAACCTGTTGTAGAATGTCAGAGTCCTAAATTGAAAAAGACTTATGCAATGAACAATCTTTAATGACCAGAACTGCGACTCCGCATTCGGATTTAAATCGTGTCTGATACAAACCATTTCTCACCTTTCATTCAAACACACAAAGACAGAAATAGCTGAGCTCAGAGCGATCCTTTACTTCAGTGCACTTAAATTCGTAAACTTAGTGGTATTATGTGCAGAATGACTATGCTCACGAACGTGTACTGTCCAAAAAGGCGCCATCCATCGATGTCGACAATACTGGCTGCACTGCCGTTTATAATTTGTTCATCTTCTACCCCTGTCTGTGGTTGCCAATCTTCATTATACCTGCGCAAAGGATGCACTTTTGCATAATACCAGAGCCATGTTATGAAGAAGTCTTTTTTAACAGAGCATGCTTTATTGACCAATCACAAATGAGAACCTTATGTCAGGCGTGATCCATCCGAGTTTACAACGCTGGCTGCGCCGCTTACGCCAGTAGAAACAGAGACAGAGGGTAGGTTGTGGCCGACGTAGTCAAATGTGTCTGCGCCATTGTGCAACGCTACTGCAAAATAACAGACTTATGTTTCTTGCCCCTTGGTAGGAACAGGACAAGAACACGACAATATCAAACATTTAATGGAGACTAAGCCACAGTCCGGGTAGCATCATAGGGGAAAAGAGGATCTAGTTACGGTCTCGTCACGGTCATCCTGTTCTTCTGGTGGTCCGTTTCTAGTGCTCTTATGAAGACAGAAAATTCATCAGTTGATTGGCCTACCGCTACTGACGTTCTGTTTAATGCCCAACTGACGCCATTAAGCTGGAAGTCAAGCCCCCTTTCTCATAACGCCGCCATAAAGCCATGCTGTTCAACCTCTACCAATGACTGAGCACCGGGATGGTGGCTATCTGCCATGCCACTAAATTGCCCTCCATTGACTACTACGCAGCTGTCTCAATTGTGTTGTCTACAAGGGGTGGTTCACAGTACATAATGGACCCATCATCGTTACACTCTATAGACGGTAAATTGGATTTGGACTTGTTAAAGTGGATGATGTATCCTTGACCTCGACGTTATTTGACACCACAAATTATGCACGTCGCTTCACTAAAGACCAAGTCGACCACAAATGGTTCTTTCCACGAATGTTAAAATTTCCTGCCTTCATTCGCCGGATTCGTCATAGCCATCCAAACTAGGTCATTTGTCTCGTCTGAGGTGCTTTCTGTTACTTGTGAGCTAGAGCTAGCTGCGAGGTGGCTGACTCGAATCATTCTGCTACAAATATAGCGTCTGTCCCGAGGAGGGGCACAGAGTCTTTCCACTTTGTAAAGTAGTCATCCATTGTGAAGTGTGCCGGTTACCACTAGCTGTCTGTGTGCGGGGCCCCATAGGGTTTAAACCAACGAGTTGATTTAAGAAAGCTATTGTCATGGATTTGAGTGGTACAGTAGCCGCAAGAGGCGGGGATATAACCTGATAATTGCGGTGCCAAATCATCCAAATATCGTTTATGTCGTCGTTCATACCTGGCCACCAATATCGCTACCAATATTGATCAACTTCTGCTGGTCGAAGGTGACTTAAACTTGCGTGTAGCTCAATTACGATTTGCTCCACAGCGGCACTTGGTACTACCATATGGAAGAGGTACGATTGTAAAAACTTTTAACAGAGCCCGTCGTCCCTAAAACTAAGATTATTTCATGCAGACTGTGCAAGGTCCTTGTCTCTGTTGTCCATTATGGGGAAAGGGCTTGTGTTTTATTCGCGCCATCCAAAAGCATCCGCTGCCACTAATGTAAATTATCCGAGCCCAAGTAAAATGAAGACTAGCATAACATTAAAGGCTTTATTGACCAATCAGAAACCAGAACCTTACAGCCGGCGCAGTCCGTCCGAGTCCACCACGCAGGCTGCGAAGGTCATTTTATACCACTTCTCGTAAGTGTCTGATTGGCTGTATATCTTCCTAATGTGGAATATGTCTGTGCCACTGCACGTCGGTACATACGGTGTGATAACCTCATGGATAGCGATTTCGTCTTGAATATCCAGTCCACCGCTTCTGTAAAGGTCCGATTTTGTCAATATTATATTTCTAGAGTCTAAAGTATCCATCTGCTTCCCAGAAAAAGGTGAAAAGTACTTTTTCACAGCCTGTCATCACGCAAATTCATGAGTCAAGGAAAAAGAGTCGAAAGGCTCCTGTGGTTAGCGGGGTAATTAAAGTAAAGAAGTTATCTCACAATCGGCCTCCAGACCAGAAATCTTTGCCAGTGGTGGCCGATGGAGACTTACGAGCAAAGTCTGATCTCGTGAAAAGGGAAGATGAAAGTCCACGCAACACCAGAAACCCTCTTCAAGTTGGTCTTTCGGCTAAACAGCATCAATCACAACTTGATCTGCTTAATATTATGAGGTATGCTATATTTTTATTTGGTTGATTTGCTTAGTGAAACTATTAATCCCAACATCGAATCTGTTTTTTCTAAAACGAGTTGGGAAAATTTCGGTTCGCAAATGAATTTGCACCCACATTTGCTGTCAATAATACAGAAGAATTTTCGCTATCAATACCCAACCGCCATTCAGGTGTCTGCAATTAGGAAACTATGCGAAGGTCGTGATGCATTGATCAAGGCGCAAACCGGCTCCGGCAAAACCTTAGCCTATGCTCTTCCGATGCTTAATAGTTTGATGATGGCTGAACCACGCATAACCCGTAGCGATGGTCCTAAGTCACTAATCATTTTACCCACACGAGAGCTTGCTGCTCAAACCGCATCAGTCATGACCCAGTTGTGTAGAGCCTGTGTCCGAATTGTTCCTGGATGTCTAGTTGGAGGAATGAAGCGCAAAGGCGAAAAAGCAAGGTAACACTTACTTCTTGTTATGTTCATCAGTTTGACGTTTGAATTCAAAGTGTCTTTTGTTCAGTTTAAGGAAGGGGTTGAACATAATTGTGGGTACGCCTCGACGTCTGCTTGACCATCTTGGAAAGACGGCTGTTCTAAGCCTAAGGGCTCTTCAGTGGTTGATAATTGATGAAGCTGATCGTCTTGTTGAACTTGGCTTTGAACGTGACGTGGGGCGAATTATTGATCGGGTGTCTAGGGAAACACATCTGGAGGGTTGTGACAGTTCGATTCAAACGGTTCTCCTTTCGGCAACTCTTACACCAGGTAGTCTTATTGTTCATTTTGTTTATTTGCTCTCTGAATGCACTTACTGCTTCCCAATAATTATTAGGCGTCGAAACACTGGCTGGATTGGCCTTAAAAAACCCGGTCAAATGTGATGTGTCCGATGAGTTAGCTCCCGACGAATGGAAGTCTTCTGAACTGGATAAACGCATCGCACCGTTTTCGATGCCTTCGGGTTTAAAACACTTCTTGTTAATAGTACCTTGCAAGCAGCGCCTCGTTGCTCTTGCCGCTTTCATGCTACTTAAAACAAAGGTAATTCATGCCTATATTTTTGATTGTCCAACGGTTCCTTGATAATTAAGTATGACATTGCTCGTTATAGTACAGCAGACGTTCTGGGAAGTTGATGGTATTCTTCGCTACTCAAGATTGCGTTGACTTTCATTATCGGTTGTTCACTGAAGCACTTCGTGATGGCGACGGGAAAGTAGATGAATCCGGTTTTCATACGAACAATCTCCATCTATATCGACTTCATGGCAACATGGATCCCAAGGTGTTGTGTTTTTTTGTTCGCCCATTGTCTACTTCGCGCGTTTTATATATTGAGTGAGGGTGTAGTGTCGATTTCAACAGTAAATTAATTCACAACTTGATTGTCAACATTGTTAAAAGGGATTTTATGCGCAACGGGCTCACACGATTTCTCCAGATGGGTCTATCATTGCGGATCCTGTAGGTTTGCTGCTTAAGGAAATCTCTTTAACTTACCCGAGACTCATTGAAACCTGTTTGTAGCAATGTTGTTGATCTCTCTTTCAGGTTGTTATGCGAGCAAACATGTAGAATGCTTATGCAGAGTGGCAATGATGTGTATAGGCTTCATATCAGAACTGTTAAATGTAATCAGGCAATATCAAGCCATTGTGTGTTTTTACAACATCATACCTGCAATCATTACTAATGTGGTGCCGCGCACACGGAATCACTTGAGCCGTTCATTTTTGCGAATCGGTCATTTTTTTCTTATACTTGATTTGCACCAAGGTTGGTTTTCTGTGAGAATTGGAGCATGAGCATGTTGAAGAAAAGAGTACCCTTCCTTCGCGGTACTAGTACGTCTCATCCTCGTGAAAATTTTAATTATTTAGTTTTTTTTACTTTTAGGAGCGTCAGGCAGTTTTTCAAGCATTTTCTAGCTGTCCAGATGGGATACTTATAACCACTGATGTTGCAAGCCGTGGACTCGACTTGGCTGGCGTTGCCTGGGTAGTGCAGTATCATGTCTCAGGGACTCCGATTGATTATGTGCATCGGGTGGGTCGCACGGCCAGAGCAGGAGGTCGTGGGAAAGCATTGCTGATGCTCCAGCCGGAGGAAGAATCCTACACACAGATGCTTTCTGCCACTGTCGGGTTGCAGGTGGAAAAACTCAAGTTGTCAGACGTTCTACAGACTGCTCTCTTTCACCTGCAGCGTAAGGGGGTATGTTTCAAATCCACCATTAATTGCTCCGGTCTTATAACTGTATTCAACAGTAATTGGGAGTGTAGCAGTTCGTTGATGTACCATCTTCGAAGACGATGGTCGTTCTATCCCTGACATCACCGTCAACGTACATAAAAATACTGTTGGTATCGATGCCTGTTGCACTATTGGAATCCGCTATTGTTCATTATCCGTTCCATTTTTTTTAACTTAGCAGAATTCCTTATTAGAACTATACTTTGTGTAAGATAGACCACAAACCGATTTCCGAAAACGCAGTTTGGTTTTTTGAAAAAAATCAGTTTCTTTGTGAATGATAATAGGTTTGTGCTCCATAAATATATGCTAAGATTTCTATGAGGGTGGTGGCGGTGATTTTGACATCAAGCTTATAACTAACTTGGTGCCTTAAACTGGTAGAAGCTTACAAAGTAGCACCATGCTTAAAAAATGTGAAATACGGCACTCTTGCGCACTGCTATTCTATTCATATTTAAAATTTTACAAGCTGGATGTTATGCAAATGATTTTCGTATGATTAGTACATGTTTTACTAAATCATTACAGCGTCAAAGCGTAACTACGGTGGAGGAAGCCGCAGCAAGCATGTCAAAGCACTTCTTCCTGACCGTCGCTGACGAACCTGAATTGTCAGCATTGGCTGAAAAGGCCTATGTGTCATTCCTTAGGGCCTATGCCAGCTTCACAGGGGAAATGCGTGTTCACTTCGCCTTCAAACGACTTCATTTGGGACACGTTGCTCGCGCCTTTTGTCTTCACGCGACCCCGAGCGATATTGCTTCACGAGTCACTGGTAAACGTCCAGCTTCCAGTAATCGAATGACAGAGCAAGGGAGTAACACAACTGTCAATAAGTACGTTTCTGGCAATTGATCTCTTGTCACATGGCTGAGTTCGCTTAACTGTGGTGTTATTCTGCATTGTCATATCCGGGAATTTCATGTTGTTGACAAACCTCATGACAAGGCAAGTCACAGGTTATCTGGAGTCGGTTTTAACCCCTACACTCAATTCTCTTTGATTTCCTTCACTGAGGTGACAGGTAACTACTTCAATATTCTTTTAGGTCACGGCGCTTGGAACTCGCGGACAAAACTGGGGAACAGAGGCCCCTCCAACGAAAACATAAACCAAAGCCAAGTGAATTAGCGACACGGAACATGCTTGCTGAATATGGTCTTTAAATCAGCCTTAATCGGCTGCGTATTCTTGTACATGCTTGTAGAAAAAAAAAACAGTCCTCATTCGACAACTTGTCACTTTATGCAACCGTAGTTTATGATTAAGATGGTAACAAGATAGATCCTATGGCTTTTCACTATGTTGCAGAACATTCTGGTAGAAGCCGTCGCAGAAATTGCTAGGAGGATAGGTTCTATTACAAAGAAAACAAGTTACATATGCATCTGGTACTTTTATGTGGGATGTAAGGCACGTCTAAGTTTCTTTTCATAGTAACGTATCGTATGGAAATGGTACACGTTAGGACCTTGGCACTGATTAAGCATCACGACTTCCGACAAAGAGTTTGGCATGTCACGATCTGATGCTCGTAGTTCTCAAGTACACGATGCTGCCAGGTGGTCTAATCACGGTTTCTGGTTAGGTCGTGTCAGTTGGTTGTCGTTACCTTTCACTGCCCCAGGACGGACTGAAATTCAAGCATGATAGGCTGCTTTGTGCTCGGGTGAACTGGGTTGAAACAAGTCCGAAGTGTTAATTAACGCGCTCGGAAATTTTGCAGTTTATTTTACGGCCGTTAGCTCGGTGCGTTCGCTAGGAAGCAGAGTGTAATCTAAGCGATGGATTCAGTGCTGCTTAGGTGCCCAATATTTTTTGCATTTCTACTGGTGAAATAGTTTACAATTTCGTGAATTCTAACTTTAGTGGACACGACCCATGGGTCAAATAAGCGCCTGAGGTACGTTGGATAAAGGAAGTGGCATTCACCAGAACGTAAAACTCCAAATATACGATAACAATTTTTGAACTACCGGTGACCTGTAGCAAATTTGAATGGTATTTGGTTATGAGTAGTGGTAGAATTTCTGGGCATCCGGGCAGTTTCGATGACCTCCGGAACTGCCAATAATGGATTAGGCCTTTTGAAGGCGGGCAGGGCCAAATGGGGTTCCATTGAAGTGATCGATGAGAGAGCACTTTGGGTCATTAGAGGATTACTCGAGTCAATGTGTTCGCGTTGTTTGGCATTGTGAAGGAAACATGACCATTATTGAACTCATCGAATATGAGAGTCCTTAGTGGCTTAATTTTTATAAATTTAAGGCATTGAGAAGACTATTCAAATACCATTTAGCTAATATTCAGTTTAAAATCGTCGGAAATGTTGCAAAAAATTAGGCCGCGGTATGTCTGTTGTGTGGTAAACACGAACATCTAGAATGTGTGTAAGTCGATAATCGCCGTTGCTGCCCGACAGATCAAAGGCCTAGGGGTGAGGGTACAAGTTCACGCGATGGTAGCATTCCCACTTTGGCGAAAATGGTACCAAAATATTGACGACACCTTACTGAAAATGGTAGGTTAGTCGTTGTCAAATTTGTCCATTTCAACAAACAAATAGTCACTAATTGTGAATGGACAGCACGACTTGGTAGACAGTCCGCATATTTACCCTGTTAGCACAAAAAATACATCTTCAACTTAATGGGGGTTTTAGCATGGATTGCAAATGCCATTTATGGACTTGTAGCAGCCATTTAGCACGGAAAGTTTGTGGTTTTATAGCAAAAATTAATGATGAGGTAGTCCTTTCCAGGTATGACAACGGCGGTGCTTTTTAACCGATAATACCCAGTTTTGGTGCAGTAATGAAAGCTGATCTTATCAATGGTCCCCAGTCACTAATTTGAGGTTTAGCGAATTTCGATAAAGACCATTTTGCATTTGTAGCACAGATTAAGAGGAAAATACACACAGAATAAAGACAAACTAAAGGAACTTGTAGGGCTACTGACAGACATTATCTTTCCAAATAGAGGTTTTTGATTTGTCTAATATACAATCGGGGCAAAGTGAATTAGATCAAGTTTTGGCGGATTACCAAAACTTAACAAACATTTGTTTATGTACATTCGTATTTGCCCTTCTAGGTGTGCTTTTTGCACTACATCTTAAATAATATAAATAAATGTTGGAATAACTATTGTTTTATATATTTTCGAATTATAGCTGATAATTGAGATATGTATTTTCATGTCGAAATTCATGCAATCAGACTGGCAATCTTATAACATTATTACAAGTAAGCTCTAATTATTGGCTATGCCGATGCCAATCACTGAGAGAGGAAAGCAATACCGGCATCTTTCATCGACCAATATATATTACTGCATGTTCAAAGAGATAATAACAAGCTTTAAGTGCCACAAATTATATCCTTACTCGTGAAAAAGTGATAATGTTTGTTATTATAAACTTATGTACAACAAAGATTAAGATTGCTTTGATCATTATCCGTGTAGGGACAAATTTTAGATCAAGAGGATTAACGTCTTAAAACGAATGCAGAAAAATGAAGGCGAAAACAATTAGGGAAATAGCAGTAGATTGAGAAATTCTTCGGCGTGCGAACAAGAATAATAAGTTAAGATGATTTATCTAGAGTTCACCGGGAGGGTGATATGATTGGGGCTAGACGTGACAGTGTCTTCAGCTAAGGTCAGGGTGTAGAGGTATAGAAGCAATAATCCCGGTGGTCTTAACAGCAATATCTGAGGCAGGTATGAGATTCTTGGTATCCGGGGGGAGAGATCATTTAAAGGTCTGATTTAAGGCATTTTAAGTGCACTATTAAGGAAAAATAATTGATCGAAAGTGGGCCGGATGCCGTGTTCGTTACTGGGAAGTGATTGATCAACTACGAAAAAGATTTTAGTTAGTGATTGCTCAGTTTTGACTAAATGCCTTTGGTAGGGTAGGGTTTGCGCAGTCAAACCAAGTTTCTAGGCCGGCGGTCTTAGAATCGTTTTTTACCTACTTGGGCTTGTTGTCGCTTGGGTCAAAGGGGATCAAAAAACGAAAGAGGAGGAAACTATCAAAAAGTATTTTGAGTTAGTAGCTGAAATATATGAAAGCAAGTGTGATGCCAATGGGTTTGTTGACCGCACAGTGGTAGAAGAGCAGACAGCATGGCGTACGTTGGTCCTACTTGAGAAGATAAAAGTTTATAACAGAGATACAATAATTCCGTTAGTTCTTTCCACAGGCAATTGCCATAGGATGCTAACGGGTGGTTCGAGTCTTCACGCATCGCATTGATTCACTGATATCCTAGACACAACTTTCGAAATTCAGTCCTCGGCCGGAGTTTAAAAAAACAGGGAAAGCCTTAATGAGGACTTAAATGAGACTCAGATCCCTGGCACTGCTTCAACATGCTTAGAGAAGAGGCCCACTACGACCATGAAGACGATGCCAAGGCGTTGACTGACTCAGCATGAAATAACGGGCTGTAGTCAGACTATGGGGCTGGGATTAGATTCCTTAAGCATCACATACAGGGGGCAGGAAGTCAAATTCGGTGACCAAATACTTTTCTAACTTGCCATGTTTGGGGTGGCTTAATTGGGTATTTAAGTCCGTAAGTACAGCGCATGTCACGGGTTCGGATGTTACCATGGTGAGGGTCAATTTAGAAATAAAGAACGTCTTCAAAGAGGAAGAAGTTATACCAAAACCACCTTAGCGAGTTTGCTTCCAGACGTTGACCAATCATCTCCATAGTCAGAGGTTAACGTTGCTAATGAAACTATTGGTCATAAAATAAGATCTTATCTGGGTCCTCCGCTGGCTGTTTCGTCCAATTGGTAGTGTTAGAATGTACAGAAAAGATGTCGACTGAATGGTTTCGAAAATCGCGCTAAGGTTGTGCTGGCATAAAAAACCGTGTTCGCGTTAAGAATGAAGAAGGATAATTAGCTTTCCGTTTGTAAATAGTTAAGATGGGATTGATATGTGCACTTGATTGGGCTCTGAGAAAGCATAGCCGCATTATTTCATCTAGTCAAAAGTTCTATCCTTCCCGGTTAGCACCAGCAATGGTAAAGCGACGTAATTGAACGGGGAGATAAAAGAAGGGTAGAGGACTAAAAAATCTCACCTCGTTTGGGAAGGTGGAAGTGTATTGTTATTCGATTGTGCTGACTGTCTGGATTCCGACTTGTAGCCTAAATACCAAATAAAATTCTTTAGGAGACTGCATTTTCTCCGGCTTAGGGGTTCATAAAGAGGGTTACTGCATGGTTGTCAAATATTTTGCGTTCGGATGACCCCAATGCGAGGACGAGGTCCATACAGACAAAACATTTCTGTTGGTGGTGGCCGTGATGGACTGTCTGCATGATATTCTGCCAGGTGGCTGCAACGTAGCCCAGGTCATTTTAAGAGTGAAAAATTCGTAGGTGCCGGACGGCTGGGTAAACACTGTTCTCTTAGAGTCCTTTGGTATTTATTTTGATTTGCCAGTATTTGCTCGAGAACTCAAACGTAAAGAAATACACTTGCTAGAAGGGTGTGAAGTTTTATCGAGTTAATTTATATGTCATTTTTTGCAAAGCAGACGGTTACCATCCTTCATTTTGAAAAGAGTGGTTGGGGAAAAGAAGTAACGACGATGATTTGGCGTTCCAGGTCGTTCATAAGTTTGTCCATTTGAGCAGGGTAATGTGCTAGAATTTAAATTATACACAACAAAGTGGGACAACAACTAAAGACAAAACCGCAGATTGATGAAGTCGTTGAAGTGCGCTTAGACTCAAGGAACTGGTAACAAAGAATTTACCAGAAACATTACATGCAAGCGTGCTCTTGACAACGGTTACATATAAAAATTAAGCTTCTAAAAATGATCTTGCTGGTGATTTGAACATTCGGAATAATAGGGACTAGTTAAGGTCATCGTAAAAAATTTTGGCTAATCTTAAATCTGCTCCTATATTTTTGGCAACGGATCCCTAAGCGCATTTGGAGCTATACCTCAGTTGCCTCCATTCAAAGAAAAAATGCATATGTTGGTTAGATGGAGTATTAGATATCCTACACTAGGTCAAATTTCTCTGGTGAGAAGTTTATTACTGAAATATCCTCAGATAATAACTTCCAGGTAAACTTGTTTTATCATTATACTATGACAAAATCGTGACTCTGTGAACAAACTACACAGGTTTTCGTTGAAAATCGGCAGGCAAACTAATGTTGCGTGAATTTATAGTCTTACGAACGGACAGAATCAGTCTGTGCAAAAATACAAGACCGGCTTAAATGATCAAGTGAGTCAGTTAAACAAAGTTATATGACGATTTCAATAGCTAAGAATTAATTTTGTTTTCCGTCCTCAAAGGTAATTTAAGACGAAATATATGATATGCGAACATAGCAATTCGGAATTTGAGAATTCGAATGTAGATAAAATATCATTCACAAAGTTTATTACCATCGTCAACCCATTTGTTCGGCTCAATGTTATCGATCGTCAGTCATAAATAGATCTTTTTAGGAATGAAATATTCAGTTCGTGTTGTAGGAGTTCAATTTACAAAGCCTTTTTGTGATAAGTTGGTAGTGCAAATTGATGTTAGACAATTTAGCAACTTTGTTTTTTGATTGGTTGCTTCGGTTTCAGGTTGGCGTGTAAATTACGGTGTTGTGTCCGGTCATGAGTCAGGGCGACCATGAAACTCTAATTAAACAGGTTGTGGAAATTTGTCAGACCGACGAAAATACTGCGCGGTCATACCTTCAACTATTTAACTGGAATCTTAATGTAAGTGTGGAGAATAACAGTCACTGAATAACAAAATTCTCGAGATCACATTTAGTTTTCCCTTTCGGTCTTAACGGTTTTTCTTATTGAAATGTATTGTCCCATAAGGTTGGCAGTCACATGTAATTTACTTAGATTTCTAGTTACGACCTTTTGGGATTGTCGTATTTTTTTTTGAGCAAATGTTCTAATTATCTACGTCCATGTACGTTAATATGTAAATAACCTGTTGGACCTTTATTTCTCAGGACGCTGTTGAGAACCTTCTTAATGTCGGTGACGAAGGCTCCGCCTCTGACGAGTCCCCAGAATACAAGGGAATCGTGTCTGGCAGCACCTCGGTTACTGATGTCAAATCATCACAACCCACTTCTGTTCCTGACGTCCATGCTACACACGGCATACAGAGTGGTTCATCATCCAAAATAGCCACCCTGTCTTCTCTTGCGCAAAAGGGGTGAGCTTAATCTTTTTACGTACATCGTTTCGTTCTTCAGTGCTACATCACATGCTCTTGATCTATAGGTATTTTATTTCAACGGTGATGACCGACGAATGGACTTAATCGAATAGTAATTGTATTTTAACTTAATGTTTTATCTTATCGCTGAACTGATTAATTTAGCACAAAATTGTCTTCGTCTTATCTGGCTTTGCTGATTTTGGTTAACAGCGTTATGTGTTGGTTACTGTTGTAATTAGACCCTCTCAGGTTTAATTACGTCTGTATTTATCCAGTTGTTCTTTTATGCATTAAAGTATTCGGCAGCTGTATTATGGTTTTAACTGTTGTTTAGTACTTATCTCGTCGAATCATTGTTTCTGTGTTAGCCAATCGACTATTGTTCATCATGAATACTTAGCATCAACTTTATGAATCTTAGTATGGAAGTTTGTAATGAACAGCGGTTTTCTTAAATTAGAATGGCTAGTCCTATATTTTCCTATTGTGACTGATGTGCAAAGTAGCACACAAGTTTACACCAGTCACCCACGAAGTGAAGATAATTGAGGTCGTATTTTCGTTATTTTAGACCACATAACCCAGAATCTGATGAGGAACATGGTCAAGCCTTCTACGTTGGTGGTGCTGAGCACGGAGGTGGTGGCCAGCAGGTATGTTAATCGCCGTATCATCGCTGACCATATCTTTGGAGGTGATTAGTGTTTTCAGTGAATTAATAAGTATTTGATGTATCAATAGGCCATTCACAATTCTGAGCACTTGGGCATCTGAAACACAAACTAGGTGATGCTTTTGCACCAACTTTTTAGGTGGATTCCTTTTGTTTACTTGAAGTTGGTAATAACTCTAAAATATTAACAGGCAACAAAATGTGTAGGTCCTAAGTCAGTGACCATTTGTTTGGCTCTGTTAAATTCATCCCTGTTGGGAGTTGCCTCGATTTATTTACAAAATGACAGATATCAAACTTATGCCAATTTGATTTAATCAGTTTATTTTCTCAAATTTATCGGTAAAATAAGCTAGGTGTCCAATTTAGCTCGTCGTAGCTATTTTGAACTTCCATATTGTTCGTCAGTTTAAATGTGTCAGTAGGCGTCCCATGTCCAAATAGGAGTAATACATTTTTTGTTATAACACCAGGTTTTGAATGGGATATTCACAGCTACGTATTTTGTGGTGTAGGTTCTTGGGCCACCACGGCTGGATAACCCCGAGTCGTTTGTTCGAGGCGTCTTTCGTGCGGCTCAGGATGGAGGTGCGGAAACCCTAGATCGAGCTCGTGTTTCTGACCTTTCAGTCGAAAACACAAATCAACGACAGGTCTTTGTGGGCACTGGATATCGGTGGGTTTTCCTATCCCAAGCTTTATTTGTGCTTTTTTTGGGAAAATGATGTGATTCACATAACCTAGAACACAAAAAATTTGTCGGCGCTACTTTATTGTTTGGGTTCTGAGGCACTTAGACTCATGTTTATAAAAGTGCTTCATTACTTTTAGCCTGTTTCTTTCAGGATTAAAATAAATGTAGGTTGGGAAAGTCTAGAAGTTCAGTGTTTTTATTCAGCCTAGGCGAATCTCTTTCTGATCCACTTGTAAAAGTACCCGGGAAATCTTCGGCTCCGAGACCTAAAGGCCATTCTTCAGACGATGGGCAGGATGCGGAGAATAACCAGTCGGTGATTGTGAAAATGTGGCACAATGGGTTTAGCCTCGATGACGGACCCCTTCGATCCTATACAGATCCGTCGTCCCTCGAATTTATGGATGCTATAAAGCAAGGTCGCATACCCGCTGTAAGTACTTAATTTCCGCTAAATGCCCCTAAACAACTTTTGTGTTCTACTTAAGTAGAACCGCATATCATGACTAAGGTCGAGAGAGAGAGCGTTGTCTGAGTAGATTATTGAAGAGGCTATTTTCTGAATCGAGCCTGCGTCATGATTTTTCGTTCACCATTCGCTACGCATGATAACAAATCCTCTTAGGTCTCGGTGTTAGCACATCTATGACTCACTCCGTCACGCAGCTAAGCTATAAATACTCACACAAAAACGCCATAGCCACGAAACTACCAATTTGGTTGAGCTATCGAGTTAGACGGTTGTCTTCGCTATCTCTGGATGTCATAGTAGCGTAGACGCAATGGCCCCGGCATGTGGTCTCAAACCATGCCGGGGACCACGACGAGTTTATAATGTACGTGAATGGTATTTACTTTAGTCCCTTGTTTCAAAACCTGAACCTCAGATAAAAAGATCTCGTTATCTGAAATTTGTAAAATATCACGCAGTCACACTACTGTCTGCACCGCCAATCGAACCTTCGTAGTCTTGTTTATGAGCGTTTTTAAATAATACATAAAAGTAATTTGGCATTGCCACCTGGCCTTCGAGTATCGCTTTCTGTGTGAGCTGCCTCGACTCGGGTGCCTTTTCGACATATTGGTGACATGATGTCGGACGAACAAAATGACTGTGATTTGAAATATTTGCCATTTATATGATGGATACTTAAACAAGCAGCAATCCAAGGCATGGTCCGTGTATATGAACTCAGTTTTCACGTTTCCTACTAAGAATCTTTTGGAGGTTGGTTATTGTGAGATCTGTGTCAAGAATTTTTCGGATAACTGTGCCTCTAAGGGATGTCAAATTGCTTACTAAAAGTTAGCATCACTCCCCCTCTTGACAAGGGTTCGTCTACCATTTTAATGCTTATTCCACACAGGAACTGATTAGATCAGCACGCAACCGCGAGGTCCATGTCCTCCTTGAGGACCACCACAACGAGCCCTATCAGGCACCGGCGTCCCCGAAGGTGAAGGCCTTTTCTGGCGTCGGGCATGTTTTGGGTAATCCCACACCCAGAGTGGTAACATGCCAGCCATCTGTCGGCGCGTCTTCCTCCCCACCGTCTGGCCCAACTGTTGACCAGTCTCAACCGACTACTCAGATTCAAGTCCGTATGCCCGATGGATCAAGGTAGTTTGATTATTTCGTACGTATGGTTGCGATAAGAAGGCCGTATGTCTGAGGTAGCTCATTAGTATACGTTGACACTTTCGTGGATAGATGGTGGATAAAACTGAAGGCAGCGGTAGGCACATCACTTCCTCAGCTGTCAAATGATTTGTTTTTGATAATCATAAGAACATGTCGTTACTTTGACACGAGTCAGCAGGCTTGGCTGATTCCTGAGTAATGTGAAGCGAACCATTATCGGAAGGGTTACGTGTGGTGTTACCTCTGCTTTCTACTTGTATTTCATTCATTCTGCTTACTCGGAAATGCTGCGGCTGCCCTAGCTGGTAACTAGGTTTCCCTGGTCGCCCGGTTTTTCTGTCAGTGGATATGGAAGACGTTCTCGGACATTCCGCTAGTTGGCTGTTCCAGTTCCTGACATTTGCGGTCTGATATAAAGAAAATGCGCCTCTGGGAAAGCGTTTTCTGGATTTTTCAGACTTAAGCTTCCGTTTTGCTTTTTTCCCCGACCTGTGATACTGGCTAGTTGATACCCGGATGGCCACTGTGCCTCAAATCATATCCAGAGCATAATCGAGGTTTTTCGGAGTGTATTCTATCATACAAAAGATTGTAAGGATCTGCAATCATAATGTTAGGGCATTTCATCTTTCCTGTCCTACAGTAGGTTATTGTTTCGAATGTTGACATTCTGTTTCTGTCGTTAAACTCCACATATGCATACTTTACTCTTAAGGATACTGTAGGTTAGGTCTGAATTCCCTCATATTCTATCTTTTAGACCCTATTGCCAGTTCCGATTCTCAAAAGGATACTTTGGTTAAATGGTCAGGTATAATACCCAAGCAAATCAATTCAATAATAAATTACACAAGACTAAATAATACTCCAAAAGTATTCATTGGTAGGCACGCCTTGGCGTGGTCGCATGTAGCATTAAGGATGGCGTTTGTGGTAGTGAGGCTAGGGAGGGGGATATGTTAGATTAATTTCCTGTAGCGAAGGCCTGAGGTTATCCAAGTTATTGGTTTCTGTGCAAATATGTCCATTGTAACAACCGGTTAGTTTGTGCGAAAATGCTGTTAGCATAAATTGCCATGAAATTGTTCTGACATCTTTTTTGTCTATGGTTTAGCCCTGAGTTTTAATGTTTTAGATTACTCGTCACCCTTAATCACAAACACACAATTCAGGATCTTCGTACAGCCATCATGTGGTGAGTTTGCCGCATACACTTTCTTCGACTGTGAACACTTTTGTATGAGTAGCATTGCTTTATTTTTTTACCACGTCACAAGGAAGGGCAATTGAGTCTGTCGCTTATTCAGCATTCCAGTTAGTCGTCTAACCGATTTCTTGTGCCACGCTAGTTCATCTCTCTTTAGGGTTCTCTTCCGTATACGAATCTCCTTTTCAATGAAGAAAAACTCATTGTTGATATTTAGTGAAGTTGGAGTGTCAGGCGATGGACCTTGGGTGAATGACGACCACTTACTAGTATTCGTGGTTGTGAATGTCTTTTGCGTTTGACCACAAAGTCCGAGTACGTAGTATGCCTGCTCCACACTCATTTTCTTGGAAAACAAGATACCTTTTTTACACCACTACAAATTTTCGACTAATTAACAGCACATGTAAACACCAAAAGCTTTACCAAGCCTATTAGTATTTCTGAGAAGGTAATAGTGGAGAACGTCTTAGGCTAAGAGAAATCGGAATTTCACATTGCCATAGCGCCGGTAACCCTAGTTGAATAGCAGCTGAAGTGATGGGCGGCAGACAGTTCATTAAAGCCGGGTACAGATTCGCTTCCGTCCATCGCATGGTAGCTGTCGAGCCGGTAACTATCCCACTGTGTCCAGCAGGGTTTGTACACTCCTATGGGGCACACTTGCCAATTGATTGGTTGGCGGTTTTGTTCTAAATTTGGCCTTACGTTTTTACGCAACCCATTGCTTGGCCTTAATGTCGCTGGACTTAATGCAAACCTCGTAGGGAAAACCGATTGCTTTCTGTGCTAAGTAGTCTTTTGATTTTTCAGTCAACGACCCGAATTGGCGAACCAGATGTTTGGGCTTTTTACGACATTCCCACGGCAGGAGCTTACGGACAATTCGGCCACTTTGGCTAGTTCAAATTTGCTCAACGCGGCGCTCGTTGTCACAAAGCAGTGAATACTACGACTGCCTTTTTTTTCATTTTCAAACTTTTTCCTATCGTCCATGTGCGTGCATGTTCGGATTCCCCTGCTGCGCATTTGCCTTTTACCATAAGCACTAAAATAAATGCATAAATATTCTAATTTTTGACCACAGTGGGACGAATCCTCGGGTTTCCGTAAGCTACGCGTACTTTCGAAAAATTCCTGCATCCAAGGGCGGATTGCAGTCATACTCTTCTTGTCGCAAACGATACTGTGGAGTGTTGGTTAAGTATCGATTGCTAGCAGGGCCTTACAACTTCGTAGGCCCTTTAGAAATTGCTGGATGTTGCATTAAGACTAGATCAGGCAAATCGTGACCTGCTCCACGAATTGACCAAGGAGCTTATCATGGATAGAGGCACAACACGCCAAACCCTTCAGGTGACCAAACCTAGGTCGAGCTTTGCAATGAAGACATAGTAGAAATCTTGGCGTTTGACTAAAGTGGGAATTTTATGAAGCGGTTAGATGGTAGAGGACCAGCTTTCACTGTTTCCTGTTGTGAAAGGTCCGAAGCCTTTATCGGGGTACATTTTGTTTTTCTCGATAATTAGGATTTTGAAAAGAACAACAATCAAAAAAGACATGATACATACTTGCACACACAGCTTCGTGAAACGATTTAGGCAATTACAAATATTTAAATTAGTTGAAAATTAACTAGACAGAATTACAATTGATTGCTTGAGAAGATCACACACGGAAGGTTAAGAACAAGGTGAGAATTTTGAGGACGAACTTTATGAAACCATCGAGGCTCCAGGAATTTGCCCAATTACCTAAAATGAACAATTGTTTAAAAATATAACAAGTATTTAAGAAAATTTAAATTAAGACAAATAGCGACAATGGTATTTTCCGGAAAATCGGGTCCTTGATCTGCGTCGGGGGCTTCCATTCGAACACTTAAAATTGTGAATGGCGCTGACACATTCGTTAATCCGATCACTCCAGCCTCCGACAGCATGTCGCAAGTCGCGCGGATCCTCAACTCCCCCCCCTCATTCGTACGAATATTTATCTTCGATTATCCTCACACCTAGGTCTCGATGTTAGTTCATAAATGACTCACATCTGAGCTAACACACACGACACAACAAAGCCAACTTGGTTGGGCTCTGAAGTAAACAGATGTGCCCACGACCTCTTATGTCTTCTTAACCGAGAGTAGCAGGGAAGAGTAATCGGGACAGGGTTAACTCAGTGGCCCCGGCACGGTTCAAGACCACATGCTGGGGCCCACAACAAAATGTTTCCGACCGATATTTCCCAGCACGTATGTAGGCACGAATCATGAAACCGAGCGCCGAGTTACTTATGACAACAAGTAACTAGAGCACCCTGACGCATATTGTCAATAAAAAAACTCTGGAGAATTGTTTTTACATCGTTTTATTTAAATACAGAGCAAAAATGTATTAGTGAACGCGTGTGAAGATGAAACAAAACGAACCGATTACGAGGAAGCCTAAAAGAGCACCAACCAATCGATAACCTAGTTCGTTCAATAGCACGAAACGAGAGAAAGTTGTACACCTTCGTAGCGCATTTTATTGAAGTCATAATGTATTCTCACAGTTACCTATTTTAATATTTAAATAAAACAAAAAACTAGTTCGAAATGTTGTTTACCAGAAGTAGCACACCTTTACAAATTAATTATAGGTGGTTAATTAAGACTCACCTTAGTCAGGTCCACACCAGTTATAGCTCGTACAGAAGGAGGCACCGTGGCCGACATTCGCATAAAGTCGCGACCAAGACTATTTACGGTCGCTGGATGTGCAGCAGCGCTTCCGTCGCCCGAAGCCTCACCAATAAGGACTATCTCGGAGGTCTTGGCAAGCGGGGCGCATATCTCCGCCGCGAGACTCGGCAAGCTGTCTAACACGAGACGCAGTTTCGCTGCGTCGGTGAATTTAGCAAAGGCCTCAGCCTTGGCCTGCACGCCCTCGGCCTCGGCTTCGCCTTTCGCTCTTACGACCTCGGCTTTGGCGTTGCCCACGGTGCGAACGCTGTCCGCTGAGGCCTTCGCCGAGATCATCTTTTTGTATCTAAAACAAACACACACACACACACAATCAAATGAGTAGTGGTGAAGACTACTACAACTAATTTCATCCAAGTTGGGTGAAGTTGTTCCCCAATATGCCTAGATGCAGCCATATCACGTACTTTTCACCCTCGGTGATTTGAACAATGCGGAATGCCTCGGCGAGCGCGGGTTCATGGACAGTAGCTTCGAGGACCTTGGTGTTGCGCTCCACTTCCTGTCTCTCGATTTCGATTCGCTTCGTCTTCTCCACGATTTCCACTTTCACCTCCTCATCTTTGATTAACTGTTTTTGCTTTGCAGCCTGTTTTGGAATGGAAATTACGCCATTAAAAAGAGAAGGATCGAGTTGGTTCACTTTATAAAAAAACGATTTGTCATTGCTTTAGGACTCTTTGGAAAATGGTACAACGTTGTATGAACAAAGCAACAAAAAAGCAAAAAATATAATATTACCAATTATGCAATCACAAAACCAGTAGGAGTTTCGAAATCTTACAGAAATTGATAAGGTTATGGAGTGTTTTAGACATAGCAATTGTGGGGTTCAACGTGTAGTTTACCAGAGTAATACAAAATCGTATACGTTTTTTGTAGAAATCTGGTGTGAAGCCCAAAGAGTCGCCTACTTAAAAAAACGAGAGACATGAGGCTTGAATGAAGATCTCCAGTACATTTGAGAACGCATTATCTTTTAGCAATGTAACAATGCGAGGTATCGGTCAAAAGGCTACCAATAATAAGCTCACAAGACGCGGACCCAGTTATGGCTTGCAATGAATCGTCGACGCATGGCCACACGCCTCGCTAAAAATCAGCCCCACAACGACACTTGTGTCTGATCAGCCACATGCACACACCTCCCCTGTCACTCCTACCAAGTAGCTTAGGTTTCACACATTTGTACGTTCACCAGTTCATCCGAGCTCTAATAACCCCCACCAGTCATGTCGTTTCAGTGCACTTCTGCGACTTATACGTTTACACGACCTTGCGTGCCCATCGACTCGAAAAACACAAATCGGTAAATAGTTGCATCTATGCCCTCTCCGGTCTTCTTAAACTTCCCAGTTTTCTGCTTAGCACATCTGGGCCCATACAATCTGACGATCCACATGAAGTT